GTACAGCGCCAGTCTAAACTTGAGTTATTTTTCGCGTCTTGCGCTTAAACGTTCAAATGTTATGTGTCAAAATGTCTCCTCGTCAACACAGTCATTTGTGTCGTAAATTAATGTTAATAGTTAAATATAAAGCAAGTGTAGTAGTAGGCTATGTGAGATCCTAATATGATGAGATTTTAAAGGGATAGTTCACCCAAAAATGAAAATAGTCATAATTTACTCAGCCACAAGTTGTTCTAAACCTGTATGAATTTCTTTGTTCTCCTCAACATAAAAGAAGATATTTTGAAGAATGTTCATAACTAGAAAGTTTCTGGTCCCCATTGACTCCAGTAGTGTATTTTGTTTTTCATACTATGGAAGTCATGGGGGCCCAGCAACTGTTGGGTTACCAGTATTGTTCCAAATATATACTTTTACATTCAACAGCAGAAGGAAACTCGTACAAGGTTTAGAACAACAACAAATCTTTAATTTGTGGGTGAGCTATTCCTCTAAAGCAGCCTAATTTAGCTGCTGTTAAAATTTATGTCAATAATGTTAATCAAATATTAGAAAGAAAATCACTCACTGTCCTTGACCGAATCACTTTTGTAAAATAAATAAGAATTAATGTATATTGAATTTATACAGATAAGACTATTCAGTTTTTTGTACATTTATTTTATACAATATAATTTCTTATTCAGTGCTTTAAGTGTTTCAAGTAGGTCTATTTTTTGTAATTTGTGGCTGTTTACTTGTCTTAAGTATAAGCTTGTTTTTACTTAGGTTAGTATTTTTTATTTATTTATTTTGTTTAGTATTGAAATTGGTACCAAGAATTATGAAATTTTAATGCATCAAAATTTTAATGGGATAAAAATCCTATTTAAAGCTATATATACAGTATATTTTATTTGTAATAGGGGGCCCTGCAGTAAGTCATAGCCCCGGGGCCCAGTAAGGTCTTAATGCGGCCCTGGCTACTATGATATTTATTTTATGAAAATAAAAATATTTAATTGCTGAAGTTTGTTTTTTGTAGCTCAAGAGACATAACATATTTCTTAATTTAAGAAATAATATAATATAATTCCTAAATGGTCTTTTAAGCTTTTTGTAAGTTAATTCCCCCTGAAATGTGTAAATGCATCAAACAATGCTGTTTGTTTGAGCTTTTTAGCCAGCCCAGAAAAGCAACAATGTGTCAACCAATGGATTGTGTTTGGGGAGCAACTAAAGATCTGTTCACATCAAGAATAAGTATAATATTTAGTGTTGACCCCAACAGACGATGACGTTTGCTGTCAACATAACTCAGTGAGCATTAGAAGTAAGGGCCTGGATTACTATCGCAACTTCCGTAATTGTATGCGTTTTAGGCTCTTGATCAAAGAATTGCCACAGGACTTATTTTTAATGTAGTAGTTACTGTGGCTAAATATAGGCTAGTATTTTTTTTTTTTATTTATTTTTTTTTTAAATATTGAAATTGGTAACAAGAATTATAAAATTTCAATGCTAGTGTTGACCCCAACAGACGATGACGTTTGCTGTCAACATAACTCAGTGAGCATTAGAAGTCAGATGGATTTTGATTGATTGTCAATGTTTTTATCACTCATCAGTAAATGGGGCCACAGGATGACTTAAAAGTATTTAAATTATGAATTAATATATTCAAATAGTACAACTGACTAATAGTAAAATGCTAAAAAAAAGACACATAAAATCAAGATCATATAACAAGATCATATATTGTTATGCATTCCAGAACATGCAGTTCTAGGAATCGCACTAAGGATAAGAATCGCTTGAGATATTTAGGAGATCTCATCTTTCTTAAAGATCCTGACTTCCTATACATGTACTATATCTTCTACCTGTACAGTATCTGTTCAGCATGTTCCTTAATGTTTGCATTCAGCATATACTGCATGCTTATTATTCATATAGTTATGAATATAAAACAGCTCTATATTTGTGTGTAGTGTGTAAAGTGTCCAAACAGCTGATGTTGTTGGAGTCAGAGGAACAGGCTCTGGAGAAAGAGCTAGAGGTGGAGCGTAAAGAGCACCATGCCCTGAAGACAGAGTTTCAGAGAGTGCACTTGGCTCTAGAACACTCTCTGAGCTTGGCTGAACACAATGCTGTGACTGACAAACTCAAAAGGTACCAAATATGCATTTCATGCTACTGGAATAGAAATTTGGAGTTTTGAGAGGTTTTTGAGTTTTCTTGGGAAAAAGTAAAGAAACCTTTTCACTTCTTTATTGATTAGTCCAAGTCTGGAAGGCAGAAGTTTAAAAAAAAGACAGAATAAAGAACAGACAGAAAAGCATCAAGGAGAGACATTCATTGCTATTGATGAGCTGCTGAAGTATGAGAGGGTTTGCAGCGAGAGGATTTCTGTGAGTATTAAGGGAGGGAAGGTGATGTGGAATATTTTACATCAGTTACACCAGAATATACATTTAAAAAATTGGAATTTTTCTAGGATGTCTCATTAATTTTGGAACTAGAGAAAGATGAAGGATGAGAGAAATCATATTTTTCCTTTTTTTTTTTACCTGAATTGCGAAAGAAACAGCCTACACATTCTTACCCTACACACTGTCTGTGTGAGTGAGATGACAAATGAAAATATAGAATAAATTAAAAAAAGCACAGATGTACTAATCGCACACAAGGGCACTAATTCATTCACACACACTCAAACATACAGACAGTTTATGTTGCTTTAGACACACAAAATGCATCTTTAACTGAACACTTTTGTAGGTTTCAGTTTATTCCAAGATGCCATATCAGGCAGCACAGCATAAACAAAGATTACTGAAAGCACCTTGGAATAGCAATGCTGTTTACTCCATTTGTAAAGGTGAATGCTTTAACCTTGAGTTTTTCTTTCTATAAGTTTTTCACTCAGTCGTGCATTTGTTTGCGTTGCAGACAGCTGCAGGATCATGAGAGGGTGAAGAATAGTGAGGTTGAAGAGCTGTTGGCTCGTGTGAGTGCGCTGGAGGCGGAGAGAAAGACTCTGCTGCTGGACAAAACCAACCTTAACACAAACATCAAGCACATGGAAACAGAGCTCCAGCTTTCACAGCAAGCTAACAGGTGCGCACATATAAGCACATATGAACACACACATGCAAACATACAGAAGACACTTTTAATGTGCAAATATCTATCTTTTGTTTCTGTCTTTCTCACTCTCTCCCTGGTGTGTATGTATGGGTGGAGTGTGTATGGAAGTGAGGCAATTTTTGCAATGTTCTCAAAGCCCTGTATGCTGAGTTGGGGCCAGACTGTTTATTCTGGCTAATGTAGGATGGATGGGTTAAGATCAACTAACATTGATTTGATACCAAAGCTCTGCATTTGAAATGAGACACTTTCTGGCTCTTGTCAATCTGGGTGAAGAAAACTGCTGAGGAAAATATAGTGAAACATGACTTTTAGCAGACTCTATAAAGTGACAATATTGAGGTTTGATGTTTCTGACTGCAAGAGCATGTTTAGTTGGGAGGAGGCAGATCAGGATGAGTAATAGGCCACAGAAGCAGAGACAGATTATTTTGGCCAGAGGGCTGCAGAAACAGAAGGAGAACAGACTGGAAGTGTAATAGCAGCCGCTGCGTTAGAGGAGAGATGAGAAAGAAACTCTAAATCAAGAAAACAACCAATACCAGTTCTCTGATGCAGGGGAACTACTTGCTGAAAGATTTAGGCCACTCAGTTGGTGACTTATTAAGGCTAGAATTAGAAATAAATTTAAATGGCAGACATTAATGTTACACCGTGTAGGGGAAAGGATGTGAGATTTTTTTAAGGCTGCATTTATTTGATCAAGAGAACAGTAATATTGTGAAATATTTTTAAAATGTAAAATAACTGGTTTCTATTTTAATATATTTTCAAATGTAATTTTATTTCTGTGATGGCAAAGCTGAATGTTTAGCAGCCATTTTTTTTCAGTGTCACATGATCCAGTGTCACATGCTGATTTGCTGCGTAATACACATTTCTTATTATTGATGTTGAAAATGGTTGTGGTGTTTAATATTTTTGTGGAAACAGTGATCACCCTCATGTCGTTCCAAACCCGTAAGACCTTCGTTCATCTTCGGAACACAAATTAAGATATTTTTGATGAAATCTGAGAGCTGTCTGACCCTGCATAGACAGCAAGGATATTAGCATGATCAACGCACGTAACGTAGCAAGTACATCTGTAAAATGGTCTATGTGACATCAGGGGTTCAACCGTAATTTTACGAAGCTACGAGAATACTTTTTGTACACAAAGAAAACAATAATAACATAATGATAATCCCCGGGCACCGCAGCATAAATGGCTGCCCACTGCTCCGGGTGTGTGTTCACGGTGTGTGTGTGCACTAAGGATGGGTTAAATGCAGAGCACTAATTCCTAGTATGGGTAACCATACTTGGCCACATGTCATGTCACGTCACAGTTAATAATTTATTCAGCAATTGTTCTCTCGTCTTTCGCCATCTTGGAGAGTAGCCCAGAACGTAATCAACATAATCAGCATTGTTTACGTTCAGTAGAAAGCATGCGCATGCTGAACGTAAACAACGCTGATTACGTTGATTACGGTTGACTATTTTACCAATGTCCTTGCTACCTTTCTGTGCGTTGATCATGGTAATATCCTGGCTGTCTATGTTAATGAATACCTTAATTTGTGTTGCGAAGATGAACAAAGGTCTTACGGGTTTGGAACGATATGAGGGTGAGTAATTAATGACAGAATTTTCATTTTTGAGTGAGCTATCCCTTTAATGACAGCAGGTAAACTCCACAGGTTTGTACAAAACCTGATGATCCATGTTTCCCTTCGTGAGCTGAGTATATTTAAGGAAGCAAGGAAAGCTGAATATTCATACAAAGGCATTCAAATGGTCAATTTCACAAATTTGCTTACAGTAAATGCAGAATTTTACATTTATCTCATCTTAATTAGATGTCCATTTCTGCCCGTTTTACATTTTTCCAAATTCTGAAACTTATAGTTAGATTTTCAATGGCAGATTTTCAATGTGATTTCAGACCATGTTTTCAGACCAGTATGTTCTATTATAAACTCACATAAATAATGACTTGTGTAAGATTTGAAATTTAGGTTCTCATTCATGTCTTATCCTCTCACTGTCTCTCCCTCCTTAGGAAAGCTCAGAAGCGTATAAGTGTCCTGAAGCAACAGGTTGAAGACTCTTTAGAGAAAGAGCTCATCGCTCATCAGTACCTTGCCAACATTGTCACACTTGCAGAAAGAACCACCCATGAAAGAGACCAGCTCATGCACATGGTACTTCTACAGAAACTCACATGCATGCTGTGCAAGCTGCCATCTGTTTACATCTCTATATGTCTTGATCTCTGGATCTTGTTAGTTCTGATCTGTGCTCTCTAGCAGCAGTTCATTCAAACAGAGAACTTCTACACCAGACAACTTGGGCAACATAAGATGGTTACAGAGGTTATAGTTGTGCTTTTCATTAATGTGCCAACTGGTAATGATTATCCCTGAAAACTAGTCCTACACCTAATCAAGTTCCCCTTCGGTAACTCAAGCTGCGTCGGAAAATGCTAGGGGAACGCCTTCAGCGATACCAAGCTCTGAATCATATGTGTAATCAGTCAGAGGTGGGTGACGTCATGACCAGGAAGCTTTAAAAGCACGTGAGGTGCAGCCGGCGTTAGCTTTCTGTCATTCAGCAAAGCTCTCTGTGTGTCGGTCATGATCTATGTTCTGTGAGTCTTATTTATTGTTGTCTGTCCAAAAGTTACACAAGCATTCAGCAAAGAAAGTATAAAGCTCCAGCAGAAAAAATATGTCTAAAGCAAAGACAAACAAGGGCGAAAATAGATCGCGTTATAGACTGTGTGTTCCTCCCTGCCCACGCTACATCACGAGCGGGGATACACACAGTTTGTGCGTGGTCTGCTTGGGAGCGGAGCACACGGCGTCGGCTCTCGAGGGGGCCGACTGTCCGCATTGTGAGCTGTTGCCACTGCGTTTGCTTTCGTGGGGTTCGCAGCTGGATCTGGTGGAGGGAATGGAAACAGGCGAGTCCCTATCTTCTTCCTCACCTGCCAGATCCACTGCCTGCTCGCTGGGATCGGAAGCCCATTCTGCGGTTTCTTCCCCCCCGGAGAGCGGGCTCGGTGCTTCTCCTATCTTCCTCCGAGGAGGTTGAGGTGGAAAGCGTCGAGGATTCGCCCCCTCAATCCCCACAATATGAGGAGCTATTGGAGGTAGTTACTCGTGCGGTTGCCAAGCTGAACACCGAGGTGTCGAGATCGTGGAAGAAACCATTCTCGGCCCGCTTATTCGTCCCCGCCTCTGATTACTATGGAAATGTGGCGGGGCTGGGTGAATGCGGTTACAGAGCGATGCCCCGGGTAGAGCAGACCCTTGCGAGCTATCTGTCGCCCGGCGCGGCATCGTCTCTGAAGACTCCGGTCTTGTCCTCCAAGCTGCTGCGAACCACTTCAGCTCTGGTGGGCAAGGGGTACTCTGCAGCGGGTCAGGCTGGTGCGTGTCTGCACACTATGTCAGTTTTACAGGCGTACCAAGCCGACCTGCTAAAAGAGCTTGATGAAGGCGAGCAAGTCAAGGCAGAGTGTTTCGCTCAGTATTTTCCGCCCAGGAACGTAGAGGAGCTGAGAGCCTCGCCACCCCTTCGGGGGTCTCTCGAGCAGCTAGCTCGGCTGTCTCCTGCCGGTCCTCCGCTTCAGGGCACCCAGCTAGCAGCTCCAAATACACCAGAGGCCAGTCTCGAGAGACTGGTTCCCTTAGTAGATTATTTAGCAGCGTGGAAACTACTGCCAAATGTATCTCATTGGGTCCTGCAGACTGTAGAAAGAGGCTATCGCATTCAGTTCGGCGCTCCGCCGCCGCCTTTCAAAGGGGTTTTTCTCACAGTAGTGGGCCCAGAGCAGGCTCTGGTATTAGAACAAGAAGTCAATACTCTCTTGAGGAAGGAGGCCATCGAGGTGGTCCCTCCTCTCGACAGGGAGTCCGGGTTCTACAGCCGGTACTT